TTGGGTATGGACTCAAAACGTGCAGGGAAACTGTGACTCGTGGTCGCTGTGTGCGCGGATTGCACATCTGCGCATGGCCCAAGTGCGGCAAATCGCATCCTGCGCTGGACTGTCCGTTGCGTGCTGAGGCTCTTAGCCAAAAGCAAGAGTGACAGTCGAAGAGCGAGCCCGGCAGCTCGCAGTTCTCGACTCAGAGTCGAGGCAGCCCAGGCTTAGCTGGGCAAAGTTTTGCACCGCCGCAGGCTCCGCCTGCGCCGAACAGTTCTCCTTTAGCAGTTCTTGATCCGTGTCAGCAGACTGCTAGTATGGATTCAAGCAAGTTTTCTTCACTTTTGCAATTGCTTCGGAGCGCCAATTGGCCCAACTCTGTCTTGCAACGCAAGTCTGTTTCTTCAGCGGATCCCAAGCAGTCGGGGTACTACAACTTCGGGCCCAGAGCCAGCTGTCCCCATCTCCTTACAAACGCCACGCTGCAGATGCGAGAGTTTGTCCAGCAGCTGAACTCAGCCGTCAAAGCACTTGTGCCTCAGGCGTCCTGGAATGCAATCTGTGTGGGCCAGAATACGCTGTCAGATTTTCACAGGGATTCCGGCAACCAACGGGGTTCTTTGAACCATACCTTCTCGCTGGGCACCTTTCAAGGCGGCCAGCTCTGGCTTGAAGATGCGGCAGGCACTTCCGAGGCCACGAGTCCCGCAGGCGAGCAGATCCGGGGCAGGGTTGTGAATACTTTCTGCAACCCCACTAGTTTTTCTTGCAACTTGTGGCATAAGACGATGCCTTACACAGGCGAGCGATGGGTCGTGACACTTTATACTCTGTCAGGTGGGCAACCTTCCGAGTTGCTCCCTTTGGGCTTTCCGTGTGGATCCGCCGCTGTGACTTCGCAGTCCTCTGGCGCGCAATCTCCGCCCGAGCCTGCCACTTCTGGGTCTAGCCCTTCGGTTCCCGCCCCTTTGGGTTCTAGTCTTCCCCCGCCCGCCGACCCGCCTTGTAAACGCTTGAAATCCCAGGATGCAAAGGTGTCGCCTTCGCAGCGTGAAAAGCCTTTGTTCTTAGAGATTTGTAGCGGGTCGGCTATGCTGTCTTATGTCGCCAAGGAGGCAGGCTACAGTGTTGTGCCAATCGATTGGCACCATAACAAACAAAGATCCTGTGTGCACACTCTGCAGCTTGATCTCCGCTTGGCCAGCACATGGTCATTCCTGCGGCGCATTTGCTCCGAATACCATGTCGCTTGGATCCACATGGCCCCTCCATGCGGTACTGCAAGCAGGGCTCGCGAATGTGGGCCCGGTCCTAAACCGCTTCGGTCGCATCATCATGTGCGTGGGCTCCCTGGCCTTTCACAGGTAGATCAAGCTCGTGTTGAGAGTGCCAACTCCATCTACGACCACATGGAGTCCTTCTGCGACTGGCTGCTTCGATTCATGCCTCATATCCCGTTCTCCGTTGAGAACCCGTTGCACAGCTACCTTTGGCAATTCCCGAAGTGGGCCGCAATGGTCCAACGGCACTCCTTTGTCACATTTGACTCGTGCCGGCACGGCTCGCAACGCAAGAAGGCCACGGCCCTTCTCACCAATTCTGACTTCCTGCACTGCCTCTCGGGCCCCTGTCCCGGCTGCTCCTCGCATCTCCCATGGGGTAAGCAGGGTCGTACCTTTGCAACCGCTGCAGAAACAGGGTATCCTAAGCTTCTTTGTGAACGGATAATCTCATGTGTGGACAAGTCCGCCACCTTGCGGGGCATTGCGCCGGACCGACTGACTGTTTCAAAGGTCTCTGCTGCACGCGCCGCGGGTCAGGTGCAGCCAAGAGGGCGCACGTTCCCACCGATCATTTCCGAATTTGCTTATACCGTTTCTGTTGGCAGCGCGGCAGCCCCCACTCTCAATTCCAAACAATGCTTGTCATCTGCATGGCACGGCGTCCCTGCAGGTTCAAAGCTCCTCCGGGAGTCAGTGGAGAGGGGAGGTTCGCGACTCCCTGAGGGCAACAAGTTCTACGTGTTCGGAGTGTATCGATCCATGCAGGCTTTCTTGAACGAAGCAAAGCTAGTCGTGCACCCGTTTGATTCCGCCAGGTCGCTCCCAGATGAACTTTTGCGAGTCTTGTTCGACACACTCACTAAGGGTCCGGTCGACACGATGAGACATCGCCTTCTTAAGCTGCAGCACTGGCGTGCCCTTGCCAAACAGCTTGAGCCCGAAGAAGAGAAAATCAGGTCAGCCATGGATCCGTGTGTGAGGAGGGTCCTCGGCAACAAGCGTATAGCGCTCATGAAGAGCGTTGCCGCAGAATTGTCGTGGCCTGACACCACTCTCTTCGATGACCTTGCTGCCGGTTTTAAATTAACGGGGTACTTAGGTCGCACGGGGGTCTTTGCTAGTGACGTTAAGCCTGCCACGATGGACCTTGATGAATTTTGGTCGAGCGCCCCGCTTCGCAGGGAAACTCTTCTTGAAAAGGTCAAGGGCCAAAAGGACCATGACTATGCCGATGAGCTCTGGAACATGACGCTTGAAGAGTCCGATAAGTCTGGGAAGAGCTGGCTTGACGGCCCGTTCGATGTCGACTCTCTGGGGAGCATGTTCCCCGACGGTTGGAACGCCTGCCGGCGTTTTGCAGTATGGCAGGGCAAATGGCGTGCCATCGATGACTTCTCGGAAGCTGCGGTGAATGCGTGCTTCGGGTGCTTTGAACGCGTCACTCTCAAAGCCCTTGATGAAATCTGTTGGCTGTGCATGCAGGTCTTCCGTGCCGCAAAGAAGTCGGTCTTTCTTGATCTGGAACTCAGTTCGGGTGAGAGACTCAGGGGGCCTGTCCATACTGCGTGGAAGGACCTCGACCGTGTTCGTCCTCACTGCAAGACATATGACCTTCATGCTGCGTACAAGCAGCTCGCGTTGCACCCTGGGGAAAGGTCGAAATCCATTATCCTGCTCCGGGAGCCCGGCTCCCGCGCTGTCAAGGCCTTTGTGTGCAATACTCTGCCCTTCGGGGCTTCGGCCTCGGTTATGCAGTTCAACAGGGTGGCGTTATTCTTGCAAAGGGTTCTTTGGGATCTGAGGGTAGCTGTGACGTGCTACTACGACGACTTCCCGACGATGACTCCCTCTTTCTTGTCGGGCGGAACGGACAATGCTGTTCATGCCCTCATGGACTTGTTCGGCTTCTCCTTGTCCGAGAAGGAGAAGCCGTTCTCGTGCACTGCAGAAACTTTGGGTGTTGTGCTAGACACGTCTGATCCTGACATGGGGCACATCCTCGTATCGAACAAGCCTGAGCGGGCTGCCATGCTCGAGGGGTCAGTAGGGCGCATCCTTGAACAAGGCCAGGTGGACACGAGGGAACTGCCTTCCCTCCTTGGTAAACTTCGCTTTGCGGATGCTCAGCTGCTCGGTCGCACGGGGCGCCTGGCCCTTGCTGACCTTAGGCTCTTAGGCGATAAAGGGGGTGTCTTCCAGCTGACTGATTCACAATCGAATGCCTTGGCCGTTCTGAGGGCGAGACTTCTTGCGAGCAGACCCCGCGCCATTGCTGCGAGCCCGCCTTCGAATCCAGTCCTCATCTTCACAGATGGCGCATGCGACCCGTGTGAGGGCGGCTTCACCACAGGCGTTGGAGGTGTCATCTTCATCCCCAGCAAAGGGGTGGCCAGGGCTTTCGGCTGCAGGGTTCCGAGCAAGCTTGTCAAGCAATGGGCCGAGGGCAGGAAACACATCATAGGTCAAGTTGAGCTTTACGCGGTCGTGCTCGCCAGGATCTTATGGTCGAGTTACATCGATGGCGAAAGGTGCTTATTCTTCGTTGACCATTCCGGTGTGTTGAGTGCTTGTATCAACTCGAACTCGATCGATGCATCTTGGAGGAGCCTTCTCCTCCATCTGGAGGCTGCCGACGAAGCACGCCCGTGCTTGCCCTGGTTTCATCGCGTCCCGAGCCAGAGTAACATAGCAGACCCACCGTCGCGTGGCAGATGGGACGAATTGTCGTTCCTCGGGCCTTTCACTCGTGATACGCCGGCATGCTTTGTCACTGGTGAGGCGCTTGAAGCAACGTAACGCATAGTCGAGAGGGGGAGATTGATGGTCACGTTGCACTCGAAAGTGCGATTGGATCTGTGGCACGCCCGGTGCCTCGACTTAGGTGGAGGGGCACTCTTAGTGCCCGGTGCACACGTTGTGCACTTGTGTTTTCCGCGAAAACTCCCCATGACTCTCGGCTGTGCCGTGAAAACAAGTGTGAGCGTTCTGCATCAATTTCTTATCACCTGTATATATTCGAATCGGACCAACATATGTGGTCTACAATTCTTTATATGATTATGAAGTGGAGATATTTGATCGAAGTATTTATACTTGATCCAAATATGTGATTGTCATGGATGACCGGATCTATAAGCATCACTTCACGCGTGCGTGTCGATGTTTTATAGATCCTAGGTCAAACGAAATTTTGTAAGCAACAAAATTTTGGGCCATGACAATCTTTGCGCTACTCTTAGTAGTGCTTTACAATCCTGACTTTTAACAACTTTCAATCGCTGTTGCATGATTTCGTTTCTCCTGTCGAGCAACGATTTTTAAACCATGCGGTTAAACGGACACTTGGTCATGATTGAATCTGCAACCATCGAAGCTGTCTCGAGATCGAGCCAGAAAATTTTGATCCCACCCAACCCGCCCTGGGGGGAGATTGATGGTCACGTTGCACTCGAAAGTGCGATTGGATCTGTTGGCACGCCCGGTGCCTCGACTTAGGTGGAGGGGCACTCTTAGTGCCCGGTGCACACGTTGTGCACTTGTGTTTTCCGCGAAAACTCCCCATGACTCTCGGCTGTGCCGTGAAAACAAGTGTGAGCGTTCTGCATCAATTTCTTATCACCTGTATATATTCGAATCGGACCAACATATGTGGTCTACAATTCTTTATATGATTATGAAGTGGAGATATTTGATCGAAGTATTTATACTTGATCCAAATATGTGATTGTCATGGATGACCGGATCTATAATGCAGTCCGTGCAAATGTGCTATCGACTAGCTCGCGCACGCAGCGAGTGATTGCTTTGTCTTCAGGGGAGTCTGAACTGTTGGCATCCGCTTCTGTGCTGAGCGATGCAATGCTTGTTCGTGAGTGCGTCAAGTTTGCGCTAGGGTTTGATGAGAGCCCGCTGATACAGCACCATGTTGACAGCACTGCTGCCTTGGGTGCGCTTAGGCGCCAGGGCGTGGGGAAGATCCGATATCTTTCCACCCGCATTCTTTGGCAGCAGCTACTTGTCAAGCAGGGCATTATAATTGCCAACAAGATATCCACGGACTACAATGTAGCAGACATTGGGACAAAGGGGCTGAGCCGTGCCCGCACATTGTTCCTCAAGCATCTGTTGCATGTGTATGATGAGGCTGAGGCACGCTATGTTGGTGAGGATGAAATGACTGCGCAAGTTGAGAAGGATGCAATGAAGGAAGCAGTGAGGCGTTTTCGTCAGGCCCACCATGGAGGCAGAGTTCCGAAGCAGCAGCTTCGGCAAATCATGATTGCCGCCTTGCTGTCCTTCCCTGCCGGTGCAGCCGCAACCGAAGTGAACTGTGCGAACGCCTTGAGCCTTCCCGTGCGCTATGGCAGCTACATCTTGATGACCTTTATCCTTTTGTGCACCATGCTCCTGCAAGGATGTCGCAGTGAGCAGCAGTGGGTTCAGGTTGTTATTAGTGTAGATTGGTCCGGGATCCTAGTTGCACTGATAGTCTTGGTTGGTCTTGAGTTAGTGTGCGTGCGCCTCGGAGTATCCCTTTTCCAGCATCTGTGGAGCTCCTGGAGGCAGGATGATGAATATGCGCATGCCACGGAAGAGCCAGCCTTGAGTGAAGCGTCTGAGCAGCCAGAGCCAGAAGATGATGAGTGTGACGATGGCCCGTCACAAGTCGATGGTTGCCGCTGTGATGCCACGGATGAGGTAGATCGCGACCCCGAGGCAGCGAGTAGCACAGATGATCAGGGATTCATGCGAGGGCAGCCGGGCCCAGCTGGACCAAGGTCTTATGAGCCCGAGCCGCTAGATGGAGACTTCACGGATGTGCAGAATGTGCCAGCAGCTGTGATCGGAGACCTTGATGATGATCTTGAAGCTAATGCTCATGATGCGCCTCAGGGGCAGGCCGAGCTAGCAGTGCAAGACTTAGTGCATGTGGACCCGCACATGTCATGGTTTGTTGCACCGATTGCAGGCCGCCGTGTGCATATCTTCAGGACGTGCCAAGGGCTGATGAATGCGTCAAGGGTGATCCGCATCACCGAACGTGAACGAGAAATGCAATGGCCGTACCGCAATTTCCCTGTGTGCTTCTACTGCCGCCACCGTGCGCAGGCCCAGATGCGACGCGAGAGAGATCCGCCAAGGATCTACGAGATCGGCTGATGTGTGCAGATCAGGTGCATGTGTATGTGACAAGGTGTGATCATGCAGACTCTTGAATTCTTGGAATGCACACTTGTGCGATGCTCATGATGACTTGACTTGTGTGCCAATTGGCATTTCCTTGAACTTGAGTGTGCCGTGCAGCTGCATGCTGCACTACCTGCGCCATTTTGGCGCCAATACTGTGATCCGGACCCAATAGTGAAAATCCGAATTCTGCAAGTCGTTATGATTGCAAGGATCTGAAACAAGATCCCAATCTCCACAGTGGATAGTGAGAGATCCACACGCAGTTTGAACCAGGTGCCAAAGGTACGAGGTTAGACAGGCAGAGTAGTTTCACAACGCCGATGTCAATGTGCATCGTGTACTCATGGACGTTGTGTGGAAACCTGCAGATGCGCTGAACTGTGTGAGCGAGTGCCTGGCCAGTGAAGCTTTGTTCTGATGCAGTTCATGTCACATGTGAGTTTTGGTAAAGTGTCGACTGCATTGCACATTTCGCCGAAACTTTGGCGGGGTGCAAAACTTGGTACCGATGTGCGCGTGCATACATTTCCTTTTGCGCACCAAATGTTTTCCTTTTGTGTACAGTATGTATGGCCAGGTATGTATCTTGTGCTCACATGGTGAAGTGCATATATCTGCAGGCGTTCGAAAGATCACAGAGAAAATTTCAGGTTCTCTTCAAGGGGGGGGCCTCGCAAGGTACCGATCTGTCAGCTCCCACTGCGAGTTAAAATGAAGACTGTGTCCGAGTGTTGCCTGCCGCATTTGATTATCAATTCGCAAATATATTTGTGATTGATTTTTCATATATCTCATTTATAAACAAGACGCAGAGAATAAGAAGAACTTCCTCCGAAGGAGGACGGATTTTTATTCTCAAGTCTTGTTTTCAACAACTTGGTTTTTCCAACCTTGGTTGTTTTCCATCCTTTTTCATGCCGAACTTTTCCCAAGCTCTTTTTTCCAGTCGCCTTTTCGGCTTCAGTTCGCTTTTCGCCCACCCTCCTCACCCTTTGGCTTTTCGCCTTTTTCCTTTTGCCAGTTTCACTCCTTGTTCTTTATGGCCTAACCCTGCCGTTGGGCCTCGCAAGGTACCGATCTGTCAGCTCCCACTGCGAGTTAAAATGAAGACTGTGTCCGAGTGTTGCCTGCCGCATTTGATTATCAATTCGCAAATATATTTGTGATTGATTTTTCATATATCTCATTTATAAACAAGACGCAGAGAATAAAAAGAGCGAAGAGAAAGAGAAAGTACGAGTGGAAGCAGAACCGTACAAACCCTCGGAAGAAGAAGGACTTGCTCATGAAGCAACACACCTACCTTTTGCTCATTGGTGTGAGTCATGCGTAGAAGCCAAGAGTAAGCAGGATCACGAAAAGAAGAATCCCGAAGCAGGAAAGGACTCAGTGGGAGTGCCTTATCCAATAATTCAGTTGGACTTTATGTTCCTACAAGGAAAGGACACACCAGCATTAGTTGGAATCTGTTCATGGACAAGGATGTCAGTTGTGATCCCTGTATCTGGAAAGCAGACGGAGAGAAAGACCGTGGAGAAAGTGTTGAAATGGGTACACAGTCTTGGACACTTGGAGGAAGTCGGATTTGTTGGAGATTCGGAAGAGGCAATGTTATCACTGATAGCTGCAATCGTGGAAACTCGAAGAAAGATGAACCGCAAAACACACGATCAAAACAGCAAGCCGTATCAGAAAGGAAGAACGGCAAGAGTGGAAAGGTTTATCCAGACGGTGAGGAACCAAACAGTTTGCTTGGTACGAGCAGCCGAAAGAAAGCTTGGTATAGAGATTCCCGAAGGCCATGCAGTGTGGGCCTGGGGATTGTGCCATGCGTCATGGTTGCTGAACAGGTACGACAGACACGCCGCGATAGGGTCAACCCCTTACGAAAGTGTCGTTGGTAGACCTTACCTTGGGAAGATTGCCCCATTCGGAGAGTATGTGTATGCGCTGAAGAAACCAGAGAAGAAAGGAACAGCAAATTGGATTGGAGGAATCTACCTTGGTAAGAACTCTCAGGATATTCACTTGGTAGGAGTTGAAGACGGAATCTTGGCAACAGGATCTGTAAGGCGAATCGCCACTGGATGGAGAAAGGAACCAGTACTGAAGCTGAGTGTAACTCCATGGAACCCCAAGAAGCCAAAAGGAACGTATACCAGACAGCCGTTACCAGCCCCAGCATTGGCAAGTAGCGCAGAGGAAGAAGGAACAGCACAGGAACCCGTAGTTCGTGCGGAAGATCGAGGACAGTCCCAAGAGGAACAGGTCGAGGAACTGTTGGATCTGTTGGACACAAGCGAAGCCTCAAGCGGAGGCAGGGCCTCAAGTGGAGGCAGGGCCTCAAACGGAGGTATGACCAGCACGGGATCTAGTTCTCATTCCCGGAGTTCAAGCTCAATGCAGGACGCACCACCTGGAGAACCAGAAGGACGTGTCAGTGATGATACTTTGTTAGAAGACCTCAGGAAGAGAGCTGTAGAAGGAGGACAGGAAGTAGAAGGATCGCCGAAAAAGTCACGAGAAATGCCATCATCACCATCATCGCCCTCAAGAGGAATCTACCCGCCTTTGTTCGCAGGCAGGGTATCTCAGGAAGATGATCCCTTTCACTGGGATGAACATGAGGATCTCACAGCAGTAGAAGGAGAAGACGTTGAGTATGAAGATCTCATGGAAGAAGAGATGGAAGAAGTTCCAAGGAACGACCAAGGAGAAACACCACCCTAGCTAAGTCCAGAGGAACTGGATACCTTGGATCAGGAAGCAGCCGTGGAAGAATTGAATCGCCTCAGTAAGCTAGGAGTAATCGAGGAATTCATGGAGGCGAACGCAACAGGTGATGAAAAACGTATGGATTTGCGCGAAGTTTACGACTGGAGGCATCGTGACGGACGCTGGAAAAGGAGGTGCCGTATAGTGGCCAGGGAGTACAGGGCAGGTGCGAGCAGCACAGCTGAGACATTCAGCCCAACGGCAAGCAATGCCGCGTCGCGCCTAGTCTTGTTGTTACACCTGGTGTACAACTGGGTCGTAGTCGTACTTGATATAAAGGACGCGTACCTTCAGGTCCCGCAGCAAGAAGAGGTGCTAATCACAATTAGTGATTGGATGAAGCGAGCCGCGAACCTGAAAGAAGGAATAGTGTGGAGGCTCAAGAGATGCTTACCTGGTCAAAGAAACGCCGCAACAAGGTGGTATGAACATTTGCGGAGTATACTTGAGAAACTGGGATTCGTGTTCTCAGTACATGTACCCGCATTAGCTAGACACACCACAAGGAAGCTGTGTATCTCTATCCATGTAGATGACGAGCTACTAGCAGGAGAAAAGGAGGAAACCATTTGGTTGGTAGAAGAATTGGAGAAGGTATTCAAGGTGGAGAAAGAAGGACCATACCCAGCGAATGGAGTCGGAAGTGGAGAAGAGATGCGATATCTCAAAAGGAAGTATGTCTTCACCCGAGAAGGAATTGTTGTCCAACCGAATGAGAAGTATGTTCGGAAGCTCATTGAGTTGTATGACCTTGGAAAGTTAAAGAGTAAGGCCACACCAGAGCATGTGGATCTGGTGAAGGAAGACCGGACCAAGGAGTTGAGTGCTGAAGAGACAAAACGGTTTAGATCTGGACTTGGATCAATTTTGTACCTTGCACAGGACAGGATTGACATTCAGTATGCCTCAAAGTGTTTGGCATCAAGTATGTCGAAGCCGACGTTGCAGGCACTAAAGTGTCTGAAGCACTTGATTCTGTATTTGAGTGGAACAGCCACAAGGGCTACTCTTTTACCGTATACCGAAATCGGAAGCCGGTTGATCACGAAGTTGAATGGCCAAGAAGACGAAGAAATTGCCAAGGATGCAGGACATGTGGTGGAAGCGTATTCGGACAGTGATTGGGCAAGCCTGAAGACCCCGGACAGAGCCCGAAGGAAGAGTACCTCATCAGGAATCATTGTACTGAACGGAGTGCAAGTGTTATCATTTTCTAGGACTCAGAAGGCCACATCATCATCAAGCTGTGAAGCAGAGTTGTATGCACTAAGTGGAACTTGTGGAGAAGCAATCCTAGTCGGAAGGCTATTTGAGTTCCTAGTAAACGCGCCTGTACGCGTGGAGATACGGTGCGATTCATCATCTGCACGACAGTGGAGTCAACGACGAGGAGTTGGACGTCTGAAGCATGTGGACGTTAGGCTGTGTCAACTGCAAGATTGGGTGCGAGACAATCTTGTAAAACTTGGTACAGTGCGAACCGCGCTCAATGTAGCGGATCTGAACACCAAGAAGTTGTCATATGCCCGAAGGTCATTTCTACTGTATCACTTGTCTCAAGTAGAGTATGATGAAGAAGGAAACTTGGAGTATACTGGAGAGAAAGAGTATGAAAAACATGAACAAGAGAAGAAACTGAAGGAGTATGTCGGAAGTGGACAAATCAAGAGTCTCATTAGAGCCATACAGGTATTTCATTTGATGAAGCCGATTACCGCAGTATTGCTCAAGGAGGAAGTATCTGACGCCCAAGTAGAGACCTGTGGAACCTTGGAAAAAGGTATGAGCGCCATGGACGGAAACTTCACGAAGTTTGAAGTTGGAATGATGGTATGCGTATTTTTGCTCGCAGTGCCGTATGTTATCACGGTATGGACAAAGCTTGGAAGAATTTTGGAAAACCTGCGAGGTATTGGACGTGTGAAGATCAGTACGGGAAGCCGTGCACGTGTATATCACCGTGCTACTTGCTGGCATGCCCAAGGGTCACACAAGAAGCCAGGCCGGTGGGTCTGGAAGGACGTACAAGAAGCCGAGCAAGATGGCTTTAGGGCATGTTGGATTTGTTTCCCAGAGACGAAACCAGAAGGAAGCTCGAGAAGACGCCGAGAGCGCACAGAGCCGCCGACCCCAGACGAAAGCGACTGGGAAGTAATGGAGCTTGACTTTGAAGTAGAGTCAAATGGCGGATGCAC